CCTTGAGCGAAATTGTTTTATCAAATTTGAAAGCCGAGCTGTAAGGTTCGGCTCATCATGCAAGTTTGACTCATCAGTATTTCCAACCTGCATGGTGTGTTGCACTACCTCAAGATGGTTGGGCTGACGTACAGTGCTCACTTGATGCTTTCCGCGGGGAAGAACTTAGGTAGAACTTGTGGGTTATCAAAAGAAATACGGAGGGCACAGTAGTGAACTGCTTTGCGAGTTAGGTGACGCATAAGGATGGCCCATCAAGGTGTGATTAAACCTGTCATTGCATTGCCGTGATCCTAATTGAAGGCCGGTTTTTTTGAGGAACCAAGATTCTTTCGTGGTACAAAAAAGAATGACACGTTAGCTTGTTGACGCTTCTTACATTTTGAAGGCCAGAGACAGGTGGGAAAAAAGTCCTTCATAACAATATACAGTGCAGACAGTGAATACCTGCATACGCACTTGTATGCTGTGTCAAGTGTTTATTCACGTGCACGTGCTTTTTTATCTATGTATCTCGCGTCTTTTGAATAAAATATTTCATTTGTTAGTACGTCGTTGTGCTGTTCGTTAACCCAGTTGTTCAAGTTTTTAGCTCTTTCCTTGATAGCGGCCTACGAACTTGCCCACCAATCTATTCTTCGAAATTTCAGCAGTAGGGTGGGCGTATCATATTGGTCTACTCAATTTATATAGAAATAAAATCTTTATTGTCCCTTACACATGTCGAAAATGCCAGGAAGTATTGGAATATTGGGAGAGTTTCATAAAATCATCAAATCCTCGTCGGGCCCATTACTGCTTGGCATTTTTACGCAGGGTCCCGCCATGGTGGTCTTGTGGCCAAGGTACTCGGCTGCTAACCCTCAGGTCGCGGGATCGAATCCCGGCTGAGGCGAAATGGAGGCAAAAATGTTGTAGGCCCCTGTGCTCAAATTTGGGTGGAGGGTAAAAAACCCCAGATGGTAGAAATTTTCGAAGCCCTCCACTACGGCATCTCTCATAATCATATAGTGGTTTTGGGAAGTTAATGCCTACATATCAATAAATCATTTTTACGCGGGGTTCTAACTTGAAGGTGCCGATATCTCGCCCCGATATCTGATAAAAGGCCACGCTGCTCTAATTTTCAAGATTTTTTGACAAGAGAACGGCGTCATCCTGATGGCTGCTATTACATTGCGTAAGGTTAAATTAAAGTGTTACGTGCTGGATTTCTTTCCACTTCTCAATAATTGGCAGAAAAAAACGTGAAATCTATTGCTGGCGACAAAATTATTGTACATATTCCAAAAACTACATTGTTTCAGGGTTTACATTAGAAAGTTCCCGACTATTTGGTAACTTTATCTGGACATCAAGGAATGAGTCACTGAGGCCTGTCAATGTTTTTAGGCCAGTTACTGCATGTGGCGTTTGTTTCATGCCCTTGTTTATTAGATAATTGGTACCACGTTTTTTTTTCATTTTCACGACTGTGCTCATTAGCTGCTTAAAGCATTACTAAAGGTGAATCTAGGTGATGATTCAGCAAGTTTCATATTGTTGGCTAGTTTTGCATCGCCTCGTTATTTGTAACCGGTCAGTACGTTTGCACACTCATGCTCTAATGGCCGTTTGCTTTCTCACAGCAGAGAATAACTATACAACAGTATATCACGAGAAAAAGGCAATTATACACTTCGCAATGTTTCCTCTGGAGGTGCGCCGTCTCGTGGCGTGTATAGTGTGTACACGTCTCACTTCAAAAGCAGTACAGCTCAGTACGTGTACTGACTGACGTTAGTGATGGTGACTCGACAGAATACAGAAAGCAGATACGATCGTTCACTGAAATATTCACCACAGTCAAATGCACTTTTGGAAGGAAGACGCACACAAGCCTGCACCAATAGAAACGCAGTCTTGAGTGGCGTCATGAGCCTGATTGTATGTGACTACGCCCCTTTGGAAAACATTGAAAAGTGCTTAAGCGGGACTGTTGCTTTTGTCATCGAGATCATAGGCTGCCGCGCTTCGGTTGTCTGGGAGGCGCTTCTAAGAACTTCCTAAGTAGCATCAAACCACCGGAAGGTTCCGTTGGCACAATTCAGTGTGCATATTGCTCTAATAAATATTCACCAGCAGGTCATACATGTGGCAAGCTAGTAATATTTAGAGTACCATTCATAGTTCAAAAGAACACTCTAATGAGCATTTGATGCATTGGGGCAATATAACTGCAAGTAGATGGAAAAACATAGTTCATGCGTGGCACAAGTCAATCACAAGATGTCCGAACAATCAATCAGCAGCAGCAATATGTAAATACACGCCACAATGCTGGTAGCAATGAGCCTGTAGTGCCATCATCATCACCATCATTTTCTTGATCACCGCGCCACGCCTCTCGCGCAGCTGATGCTAGCTCGAGCTGCGCGAGAATTAGAACGGGCTTCTGGCCTGGCGGTTTGGGACGTGGACAGCCACCGCGGCTCCGCTTCAGGCGTGGAATAAAGTGGCGAGAGAACGACACGACCACGTTGGCCGCCGTCTCGTTTTCCTCTCTCGCTACATTGGTGACCCGGAGAACACGCCCTTCGCCGAGCGGCCCGCGGCCATGTTCCCGCAACTCTGCCCGCCAGTGCCGCCGTTCCAATCGACCTACCCCAAGGTATGGTTCATGCAGCTCGATGCCGTTCTGGCGTTGAATGGCGTCACGGACCAGCCGCTGATGTACGCCATTCTTCAAGACGCCCTTCCGGTAGAGTTGCGTCATCTCTCCGGCACTTCAACCTCCAGCCAGCAGCCTTACGATGACCTCTGCTCGGCGGTGCTTGCCAGACATGGCCTCACATACCTTCCGCTTCCGTTTACCCGCACCAGGCAGGTTTCCCAGGCGTCGCAGAGCAAGGTACGAACCGGTCCGCAGCCCTCCATTGACCGCTTCCTCGGTACCCCGGCTTCGACTACTTCTACACCTGATCCGGTCGCAGAAACATCCACTCCTGCACCTGATCACGACCGCGAGGTAGAAGACTCCCCCACTGCGACTGACCTTCCCTCCGAGAGGTACATTCCCTCAGAGCCCCCGTGCGGAGCTTCATCACACGTGCCTGCCACCTGCACGTCTTCCGTGAAATCTACGGCACGTCACACCATGGCCCTACCCGACTCCACGACGGCTACCTGGCCGCACGCCTCGGAGTCTGGCGCTGACGTCCATCCGCCTGCTATTCACCTCCCGGTCGCGGAACCTTCACCATCCCCAATGTACGAAAGAAACTCTCTACCAGCCACAACGCTCTGTGCGACCTGCCAGCAGCGACCAGCATCGTCCTCGCAGTTTCCCGCAGCTGAGGTTGAGGCCGCCAGCCATCAACCACGGCCAGGCTTCCAAGACGCTGCGACTGTGACTGACGCGCTTGAGGACGACGTGCCCGGTCAGTTTCGGACGGGGCTCACCAGGCATGCAGCGCCTGCGGTGGGGCAGTCTGGGGGGTGTTGGCTGGAGGCGGCCATCAATTGTGCAGACCTGCACGCCGGCCCTCCGGACTGCACGCGGACTGCCGGAGGTCATTGCACGAGCACAGGTGTCCCGTCCAGTGCTCCGGGCGAGCCCACGCTGGCTGGGTTCCCCCACCGCCATTCCCCGGAGCCTTTGCCTCCGGATGGCAACGGCCAGACGTGTCTTCACAATGCCAGCTTGTGTGTCACAACCGCGACGGCGCTCATGCCTCATGCGTGTCTGCCACCCGTTGCCCTACGTCGGCGACGACGGCGTGCTTGGCGTCACACATTGCGGCAACTTTTGGGCCGCCCTGCTGCGCGGCCACGGGTTGCGGTCACGGCCCTGAAGACGGCGCAGGCGCCTACTCGGCCTGTCCGACGCGGTGTCCCACCACTGGTCGTGTGCCCGACTGCCCACCGCGCACTTGGTGGTATTGTTGGGACACGTTCCTGCGGGCGTCGGCACGTCTGTCTATGCCGGCACGTCAGATGCCGCTCGACTTTGAGGTCTGTGTTGCGTCGACCCCAACGTCAGGACCCGCACTGCCGGCCCTCTGCCGACGTTGGCAGCATGACCTCGCGACACATGGTCTACTCTCGGCCTGTCCGGCCAGGTCACCGTGAGACCCGCTTGTCGGCTACCACAGCGACCCGGCACTTCCTCCTTCGTCCCTTGCGCTTCTCTCAGAATCGCCACCAGAGACCCGCTGCTTACCGATGGCCCATCAACGTTGACAACCTAGACTTTCCAAATGAACAGTTTATGGATTGTCGTTCATGTATATAGCTTTTGTCACTATTTTTTTCTTTTTTTTCCCGTATGCCTTCGAATCGCGCAAAGCGCTAGGGGGGGATCCCTGTAGTGCCATCATCATCACCATCATTTTCTTGATCACCGCGCCGCGCCTCTCGCGCAGCTGATGCTAGCTCGAGCTGCGCGAGAATTAGAACGGGCTTCTGGCCTGGCGGTTTGGGATGTGGACAGCCACTGCGGCTCCGCTTCAGGCCTGGAATAAAGTGGCGAGATCGGCACGGCCCCATCGGCCGCCTTCGACGTCATCTCACGTCTCTCTTCTCTCGCAGCTACAAGCCGAATTCGGACACGATGCACGCGAAAGTGTTTCCTCTAACTGCAAACCCATGATTACATACTACTGGTTGCGATACATCTTATTTTTTGTATTTAATATGTTGCGTTAAGGATGGCTGATGATTTGGTTCCATGCAGTAACTTTATACATTCTACAACTGACACATTATTGAACATGTATAATATTGTGTCATCAGTGTGCAACACTTTTGTGAAATTCATGCTGCCACATGTGCCGGAACTACCCAAGGAACGTTGGGCACTCGTCATGTGTATCGACATACCTCTAGTCCGATTTTCTCAATGTGCTGTGTTCCCTTCGCACTGGAATTAAAAAAAATGTTTGCCTTTATTTTCTGATTTTGTTTCGATTTTTTTATTAGTACCCCATCAAGGCTGAGTTCGAAGAAAAAAGCGTAGCTTCTCACAAAAATTGGATGAGGGGGGGTGGTTGTGACACGGTGGACAGTCCCAGCGGCATGGGCACTGCGTTCGTGTAGGCCCTGTCATAGGAGCCCACTACCTTATTTAGCCAGGGTGCAAACACATCGACGCGCGTGTAAACTCCCGGTACATTTTCTCTTGCGCAGCCGTGTCCGTATGAGACGATGCCCACTTGCACGTAGCGGTGCCCACCGCTAACTCGATACATGGCGGGTCCTCCAGAGTCACCCTGAAGAAGAGAGAGTATGGCATTCATGACACGCGTGTTTTGGAGGAGGATATTTGGCATAGCGTTGAATATGAAAGTGCACACCAGTTTTGTACGCGTTGACGAAAAAAAAAGCTACTAAATACGTTACTAAATATTAAAGAAAGAAGAATGCGTTAACACTTTAAGTTACCTCCAAAAAAAGGTAACGTGTTACCGTTACAGAAAAAGAAGTAATGGACGTTACCTCTGACATTACAACTCAATCAAAAGTTTATTCAATGTCTTTGCTGCAGGAACCCAGATTAGAATTTTTTTATCTCATTTTTATGTTTCACATAAAGCTCACAACTCCAAGAATGCTTATATACCCAAAATGTTCTTTTACCTAGAACTTTTTGTACAAATGCACCTGACTTTAGCAACGTTACAGAAGCATAAAGATTCATGTACAGTTATGTGCGAAGGCTTCTGGCTCATTGCCTTATGGTGAAGCCATTGTTCTCAATGTGACATACTTATGTCAAATTCAATCATACACACCATCCACAAAGAAAGCAAAGGCTCCTGGCTCAATGCCTTATGGTTAAGCTATTCTTCTCAATGTGACACACTTATGTGAAATTCTATCATACACATCATCCGCAATAAAACACCACTGAACTTCAACAATTTACAGTAATAAGCTTTTGCCTGACCGTAGCAGCATCTCTAGTTAAGATTGTGGAAATCAAAACTGGTGATTCTGCCTCCAATATTACGAACTGAGCGCCAGCAGGCAATTGCGGAGGCCTGCTTAGGTACATCTATCGAATTGACGAGGAGTTTGGGGGAATCATTTCCCTGATTATGACACCATATGTCTCTTGGTAAGTACGTGTCGTCGCGTTTTCGCCACCAAAAATCATAGTACATGCCTCATGGACACCGGAGCCCATGCCCAGACTACCTGCAAGGAAAAAGCCCATACTGCCAGCGTGCTTGTACTAGCAAGCTAGACGCGGATTTTCTTAGTTGTGAAAAAATGCTTCAATTACCTAGTAAAAGGAAACAAATATTTTGCATAGACATTTATTTGTACATTGCAGAAATTTGAAAGCATTTATTTGAGAGCGTTTAAGACCAGCTTCGCTTGCTGAGGAGTTCAATAGCGAGAAACGGAATTGCTGTTACAGAAATAAAGAAGAAAAATATGTTTTAAAAACAATGTTATTCAGCGCTATCATCTTTGTAGCATCTATTATGGAGGAGTTGTCATAAATTGTTGTGCATTTAGACTTTTATCGACAGTACTTTTCTCGCTCTTCGAATTTCAAACAATGTCATTTTGCTGTCTATTACGCATACCTATCATACACTAAATTTCTTTTTTTGTAGCTGTAATATTTGTGTTTTATGGTCATGAACTTTGGAATACGACAGGCAATGAAATTAATACCTCTGTGTTGAATATCTTTGATAATTTCTGTCTCATTGTTATACACCTGAAAGAACAAGCTCCTTTCCGGGCTACAGGATGGTTTGTACATAAAACAGAATATGTTCTGTCGAATCTAAAATATTCCTTTTTGGATCCGGGTACCCGCAGCACCTCCACTACTTTAAAACGAAGTTTATTGATGTTGGTAGTGCCTCAGAAGGAGGCTTGTGCACCGGCGCAAATAAATCCCGTTTCACTTGGCAGGCTTCGCTGCTTGTTATACCGAAACTGCTCAAGTGAGGTTTGGCATCATACCTGGCAAGAGTCGGTTGCGGTCTTGTAGGCGCAATACATCACGCGACTGTCGAACCCGCGGTAGTCGGCCGTAACATATATGGTTAGGTTGAACTGTGACAGTCGTATATTTGAGGTAGTGCGTGCCAGGTCCACCTGCAAATCAGTCAAAACAAAAGAAATATCGGTGGCGTGTTACACTTTAACAATTGCAGGCAAAAGCTCACAGCAATAAGTTATTCAATCCTGTAACGAACTTCCTGATTTCTGCACCTCACGTGGTATTGCATTACCTCAGGAGATTGGTTCACGTTTGACCGATGAAAGATATAATACGATGGTCTAATCATGCGCCTAATCTTATGTGGTCACGATGACGGCAATGATTTCATTGATTTCTGAAATTATAACGCTGCCGCTAGGGGGTACGGCCTCTCCACTCAGCGCTCACGTGGAGAAAATGGGGTGGTTTTTGATGCTCTACCGACGTGAGGCGTCCGACGTAGACGAGCCATCATCGCTGGTTTAATGAGCAGGCGAAGACGTACTGTGAAGAGTAGAAGTGCAATGTCGAGATGCGCCGTGGTAGGGGCGGCCAGCCGGCAGGAGAAAGAGGACGAGCACCGGTGGCTCGTAGCGCAAGGCGCTTGAATGTTCCTATGATTCTGGCTGGCTGGATGCCATGGCCACTGCTCTACTTTGGCATGTCGCTTCGGTCCTCAACTGTACGTGTTCGTATGCTATTTAAACCAGTGACTTCGGCTCATCTACGTCGGATTCCATCACGTCGATACAAATTGTTGACTACGGACACACGGGCAAGTGACTGGCGCTCCGGCCAGTCTTGTTCCAGCCAGCGCTAGCCTCGCAGCCACTATTCAACTCCCCTCCCCCCTTCACCATTTCGGACATCTCGCCTAGAGTCATGGTTCGAGAATTTCGCAATGGTATTGGAGTACAACAGCATCTGGCTCCAAGAATTCATGTACGAGTTACTAGACTATATCTTTCGCGTGACCTCAAGCGCCACCTCACGCACTTCTGGAGCTCTCGCCCTTACGCTGATCTGAGATATGCCGTGCTCCGCTATTATGGCATCATACATTGCTTATTTTAAAAGAGAAACTCCCTGGTACTTGAATCTCTTTCATCTACCTGCACGCCTGCTGCATCACGGCAAACTCAAACTGATCTCCTGCTAACAACAGTGGCTACAACGGCGATGAAGGCCATCCTACCACGTTCATCGACCCGTCGTTTGAGAGAGCCACAGCCTTGGAGTCCATGGTTTTTTCCTCCGGCGTGCCGGTTTTGCCACCTCTCTCAACCATGGATTCAGTAGCGGCCACTATTCCACGCACCGTCGGAATCGCTGCGGAATCTTGCTCAGCTGCACCATCTGCCCTGGGCGATTTGACAATCCCCACCCAGCCAGCTGATGCAGCTGTCCCAACACCTATGAAAGCCCGTGACGCCACTCACAACATGAACTCAGGGCCCGCTGTCACACTGCACACCTTCAAGTTTCTTACCACACCGGCGCCTGCTACTCAAGTTCTCGTATACTGCCAGCCTCATCACAACTTTTCCTCCTACGTCTAAAGTGACAGCTAAGATTTTCAAGACCTGCCTGCGAGGATTTGCTCGCACTTGCGTGAGGAGCCATGCCACGCGCACTGTCGCCAACGCCACTGTGCACTGTACCTCAATACCTAGCACAATACCATCCGCTGTATTGGCAGCCATTCCTCATCACCGCCGACGTCTAGTCATCAAGTCAGGAAAGGCAGCGTCACATCGCGGCGCTGAGCCATGCCCCCACGACAGGACGTCGAAAATTGCCTCCTTTTACAACTTCCTTTTTTATTAACCTCTCTCGCGCTCTGTCACGCCTAGGTGCAGTGCACGGCCCTTCGTCTGTACAGATCATGCATTGCGCTGTCCACAGACGCACCATTGTCGGCACTCAAGAAGCTATAACGTGCGTTGCTTGTTGCGACGTCGACCGCGGCGTTCGCACCACTTCAACCACCACCATTTTCTACGTGCCCCTCTGCTTTGCTCGCTGCTGCTAGTGAGGTGCAACCATTGGGGTACCCGCCCGTTGAGTGGTTGCGAATGCCGCCCCCCAGAACTGTCGGATTCCTCAGGCAAGCACGTGCTGAGGTGCTCAAAAACGGCTTGGCTCCTTTAATAGGGTCTATTACGTCGACGTGGCCGGATCGTAACCGACGGGTTACTACATGGCGGAAGTGATATATCAAAGAACGCAGGTTTCGCTTTCAAAGCCACAAACTCAAGTGAGGCGGAAGAGGTGACCATCGCATTGACGGTATGCTATTCTAAATCCCAACAAATAGTTACGGACTCTCGAAGAGCCTGCGAGAGCTAACTGACAGGGGAAGTTTCTCTGCTGGTCAATATATTATTATATAAAACTGAGCATCAGATATCGCAATCCCACTCCAAAGCAGCTTATAATGACTTCGAGACAACGGGGTGTCCAAAATAACGAGGCTGTACATGCAGCAGACCCCGCGCCTATTTCCCTAGAAGTGTGTCGTGGCCCTAATAGGCATGAACGTTCAACATCTTTAACACGGTTCTGAGAAATCAAAACCTACTACATTGAGCAACGCCACTTCTATTACACACCAGCGAAGAAGCTCTAAATTGAAGAAGAGTGCCCAGCGACGCCCACAGACGAAGACGCAGCTCTGTCCTGCCATACTTAAATACTATAACCCCAAAATAAGTGGGAGTGCCACACTTTGGTGAAGTGGCCAACAATTACCATATGATCTCGGCCTGCCAAATGAACCGAAAGTTAGCCCCAATTCCCAACCCCGCGATAGAGGAAGATGACCCTGCTGAATAGCTTAAAAGTAGAGCAACAGCGAACAATGGTCCAGCGGGCTTGGATGGCGACTTCGACATTTGACGTACCAGATTAGGAATGTTGACCAGTGCAGTGGGGATAAGGGCTATCTGGTGCTGGCAGTTTAAATAAAGGTTGTTTTCCTCCTCCTCTTTACGCCTTCCACTTTGACGACACTCGGACTTCCCAGTAGATGCGCTAGGAACTGCTGTGCATGTTCTTTGTGTTTATATGTTTTTTCGACTTCTTTTAGTATAATTTCTAATTGCATAAAATGCTAGGCGCCGAGCTCATGAAGTGCCGCGCTAGTGGTGGCCAGTCGACAGGAGAAAGACGACGAGTGCCGATGGCTCGTGGCGCGAAGCGCTTAGAACGCGAGTGTGCTTCTGGCTGGCTGTACGCCACGGCTGCTGCTGTACTTCGGCTTCTCGCTTCCATCCTCAACTGTACGTCTTTGTCTTCTCAATGAACGAGTGACGACGGCTCCCGTACGTCAGAGGCCGTCACGTCGCTACAATGCGAAGTAGCTAAAGGCGAAGTTCAGTCAGGTGTGCGGCATGAAACCCTTACTCCGCATGCGCGCCCTCTTCCCCTGTTTTCTCTTCTACGCTCCCCCCCCCCCCGTCTCCCTCATCCAGGAAAGGCAGACCCGAACACACTAGCTTGTGCGGGCCTGCGTAAGTGGCTGTGTAAGAGGCAGTGCCGTCTCGGTTTACACTTTCTGAGCAATCGCGTGAGCGTGTCTGGGGACGAGATTTTGCAGACGCGTGACGAACCCACGTGCCGTGCTCCAACAAGAGTCCGGGCGGAGTAAGAGCAACAGAGACTACAGTGAATTCGTGGTGTGTTCCACTTGCAAGGACGCGTTAACGTCGGGTACGGTGCCCGTGATGAACGGAACTTTAAGTCGACCGACGGACTGCTTCGCATGCTAAGCATAGTTCTTTTTAGTGGAATGTGATTTGTTTTTTTTTTTCAAATTAAATATCATGAAAGTCTCGTTCACGTGCCTCGCGCAGGCGACCGCCAACGTAGCTACGTACAATTCTTCGCTTGAAGGGATGATATTTAGCTGCGTTATACATGTTAATAGAGTTGACTTTCAAGCAGTGCCATTCAAAGCAATACAACGATAACTTCGAACTTCTGTATTTCAGTTTTCGCACTAAACTTGCTAAGAAAGAGAGAGACAGAAGTAGAGAGAGAGAGAGCTCTTTATTTAAAGGCCGAGAATTCAGCCGGCGTGTGTATAGTGAAGAAAAATACAGGTTTGCTTCTGTGCCATGATGGGATACTTTAGGCGTTTGCTTTGATGTTGAATTATTTCTAATTTACGCCGCACAGGTAATTAGGCCGCGTTCACTCTGAGAATTCGGCCGCCGAAAGTGCTCCGAATCCCGTTCGGTGGCGTCGAGATCCGCCGAAAGGGCCCTCTCCGCGCCGATCGCTCTCGGACCGATTTTTGCGGCGTCTGTCGCCGAATCGGTCACCGCGGACCAATGGGAGCGCTAGTCAAGGAATTTTAAAAAATGGCGGCCAAGCCCTACTCACTCGTTATGCCGCAGTGCACGTAGCTGAATGTTGAAACCAACGGGAGTTTAACCTACTCTGTGCCTACTTCGCGTCCGTATTTCGTGGAAGAGGTGACCGAGCTTGCTGTTGGCGTGACCGAGCTTGTTGTGGTCTTGCAGAGCAAAACGAACCCACCAACGCCGCTGGCGTCGGTGGTTTTTCTGCTCTTCTTGCATTACAAGACAGCCACTTGCCAGCAAAGTAAGCAGTACTGCCTTTTCTTGCTTCTTGCGTACGAGAGTCGTCTAAGTATACACCACCGGATATCGTAGTAGCGTTTGCGAGCCGCGACAAAAACCGTGTTAGTGCACACTATACTTGACATTGCCGAAATACGGATCATCTACTAAAGAGCGAATGTGACACAGGTGCGTTCTTTCATTCTTCCGTTTACTTATTTTGCTGCAAGTAATTGGGGCGGGACACATGCAAGGTTTTCTACAAAACCTCTAAATGAATCCGCTTACGGCTGTTTCATTAAGTAAACACAGCGCTGCTTATAGCTTGAGTTGTCACATATTCAGCAGCTTCGTCTCCACTCCCCCTGCTGGAACGCAGGAACAGTATGTCTGCACGGGGCGTCACAGCGTTATGGAAAGACTCGTGATCAGCAGTAGTTATCGCGAAAATGGGAGCAATGCCTTGGAGTGTGTACACCTGACTGTCGCAAACGTCTGAAATTTCGCCCACGAGCTGTTTCATCAAA